CAAATATGTAATGAATTTTTTATTGAAAGTATAGATATTTTAATGCTTTAATGGTTACAATTTTTAACTCTATCTATGACAGCGGTTGCTATCCGGAATGCACTAAGGGAGGTGGGGGTATTTACACTCTCTTGTTATTCATACTTTTATTAATTATCAATGTATATTATTTATATTTGTATACATGTTTTGGCTACAGCAAACTTTTTGCTTCGCCTGTAATAAAGTTCAGAAGTTCAGAACACAAACTAGGTCATTTCGGGACGAACACATGGTTTAATTTTATTTCAATAATTCGCTTGCGCGTAGGGGTCTTTAGCAGTGGGAGGAAACCGGAGGACCCGGAGAAAACCCACGAGGCTGGCCATGCGACCCTACTCCTTGTCACGTACAACCGGTGAATCAAAACCACACCAGCTGACTCAACCCCCCGTGTAGAATGGACTAAGTAGGCGAAGCGACTGCCGTTCAATACAGACTGTTCACGTATTTCACCGAACCTAATTGATTAGAAATTATAATGAAATTTAAACACGCGTTATTTAGGATTTAGATAAAGAGCTGACAGTTCTCGTTATAATAGTTAAAATATGGATAATGAAATGGGAATATGTTGAAAAAATTTCAGTAAAATTACTTCATTCGGGGCGGAGTTATTTCAGAACAGTGTAGACACACTATCGTTGTTACGATAATAAACAAAATCTCGATTTTTTTATTTTAAAATTAAATCATTCACCGCAAATTATATTGAAATCTGTCGAAACTCTAAAGCATCCGATGGCATCGAGAGTTGGCGATTTAATAAATGTCTAATTTACAGTTTGCAAGAGCTAAATCTGCCTATTGCAGGTCTTTCTTTAGGCCTGATATGTTATCTAAATTATTAATTAGGCATTAATTAACTTATCCAGGCCATAATCAACTCTCGATGGCATCGCTAGGCTGCGATGTTTATTGGATTAGGTTCCGATTTGCTGTTCGACTTCCATTCATAATTAAATCATGAAATGGATAATCGAGACTATGTGTTTTTTTTATCCTACCGACTTTTGTAATGATGATCAAGGCTAGGCCGAAAATTCAATCGCTAAAATCTCGGTTCAGAATGGAGCAATTTGACTGAAATTTTCAGTAAATTCCCTTTACAGTATCTAGTTTTTAACTATTATAGTGAGAACTGCCAGCTCTTTATCTAATCTCTCATAACGTATCTTTAATAATTTATATAACATTTACGGCCTAAAGAAAGACAGTCTTTTTTTACAAGTAAGCTTATATTTATTTTAGATCCATTATCGTTTATTTTAATGTCCAAAAGAATATAGCTTTAAGCTGTTTAACGATTAAAGCGACTATATATAGATATCTATGTTTATATATATTGTCATGTACCCTGGATGACATTAGTTGGTAAGTATATCTATTGAATCACGTACAAAATAAACAAAATCATCTCAATATTTATTTAATAACTCTACCGGTTTGTCACGGTATCCAATAATAGCCACATTTACAATATTATTCTCAGCTTGGGTTATTTATACGACATAAATAATATTATTGCTATATTGATTGACGTTACTGTTCCCGTTTTAACAGGATAGTCTCGATTAACATTGCTACGATAATACACAAAGTTTCGATTATCCAGTTTATCCCAGATTTTCCGGCGTGGTTCTCCCTTGTCAGTGATGCAGGACGGAGGGCCTGACAAGGACAGTTGTCTAGTCGTTCGGATGGGACGAAAAACCGAGGTCCCGTGTACACACTGGCGTGCACGTAAAATATCCCTTGAAAGTTGGAATTCGAAATAAGAGTAGGCCGTAGTGCCGCTGTCCGGGCAAAATTTCCCTCATAGCACACTGTATGGCGTATGTCCGTCTTCATTAGCCCAGTTCGGATCAATACATTATTAAATGGCGAGGCTGTTCTACTCCATTCAATGTCTAAGTCATCCGATGGTCTAGAGAGTCGATTAAAGGCTTGTTGTGATTAGAAATGATTAAATAATAATTTTTATAACAGTAGAAGCCAGAACAAAGACATGTAATAGTTCTAATATGGTACAGTAGTAACGAACCTACAGGACCCGGAGAAAACCCACGAGGTTGGACATGCGACCCTACTAATTATCACGTACAAATGGGAATTCGAAACCACGCCACTTGACCCAATGACAGGCCTTAAGATCAAAGGCGCACGCGTTAACCATTCGGCTACCTAACTCCCCCTTGATGAAACAGTACATATATAATATTACTGATCGTCCGAGTGGTGTGGTCGTCCGAGTGCGTGTTATCGTCCGAGTGCATGTTATCGTCCGAGTGTTTTTTATCGTCCAAGTGTGGTTTATCGTGCGAGTGCGTGTTATCGTCCGAGTGCGTGTTATCGTCCGAGTGGTGATATCGTTCGAGTGTGTTTTATCGTCCGAGTGCGTGTTATCGTCCGGATGGTGATATCGTCCGAGTGGTGTTGTCGTCCGGGTGGTGTTATCGTCCGAGTGGTGATATCGTCCGAGTGTGTTTCATCGTCCGAGTGTTGATATCGACCGAGTGTGTTTAATCGTCCGAGTGGTGATATCGTCCGTCCGAGTGGTGTTATCGTCCGAGTGGTGTTATCGTGCGAGTGCATGCATGTTATCGTCTGAGTGCATGTTATCGCCCGAGTGTGTTTGATCGTCCGAGTGCGTAAATTCAAATTCAACACTGTATTCATTAGCCCAGTCGGTACAGAAATCGAGGACGTTAAACTCCATTTCCAAATATAGCCTACACCTCCATTTAGCTCTATGGGCTATGCTTATCTGATATCACTTGTCACGTGACTATTTTTGTGTATTTGTAAAATAATTAACAATGTGTATTAAATGTAATAATGTCGCGTATTTCCATATAATATAAATAAAATAAAATAAAATGGGGTTTAACGTCCTATACTGTTCTGCTCCGAACTGGGCTAATGAAGACGGGCCTACGTCATACAGTGTGCTATGAGGGAAATTTTGTCGGGGCCTACTCTTATTTCGAATTCCAACTGCCAAGGCATCTTTTACGTGCATGCCAATGTATACACGTAACCTTGGATTTTCGTCCCATCCGAACGACTAGACAGCTGTCCTTTCCGAGCCCTCCGTCCTGTACCACTGACAACGGGGAAACCAGGTCGGAAAATCACGATGAACTTTCTTGGCCAATGCAGGGATCAAACCCGCGACCTCCAGTCTAGCGAGCCAGCGTCTTACCCACTTAGCCACCGTGGGTCCCCCATAATATACGTTACTACATTGTCTTTCAAAGGTTCGAAAAAAAGATTTAAAAAAAATATCAAAACCAATCATTGAAAGCTCTAATCCTTACATCCAACCATACATGCATAGTGTCTCAGGGGATAATCTATTGAACGTTCTAGAATTATATTATATTAATCTTTATCCCTTGATGAAGGTTTTCAATCGAGTAAATGTGACTGTTTCTGGAGACAAATCATACCCTAAGGAACATAAAATACATGTTTACGTCACGATTCAGTTCACACAATGGCTAGGACAGGACTCGATTACGTCACACCACATTTAGTTTCAGGACTGAATCAGGACCCAATTCCTCGACACTTCACCGTCACTCCATCAATTAGGAATAATCCAGAATGACAATCAAATACGACGTATTGAAAGGGAAATAACTCTTATTATATTTGAAGGCAGGCCACAATTAATTCTGGTCTTTTTGCCCGGCTTCATGGTTTCACCTAGAGATTTTGTTGGGCTGGTCGCGCCTTTGCTCCAAAATAAGGGGGGCGGGGATCAAATCAGAAGGGACCACCATTCCGAATATCATCAACACCTAACACATTCCAAACCGCCCTCAGGAAGCGCGCATAAATCTGACTTGTAGAAGATGATATTATTATTATTATTATTATTATTATTATTGGTGAAGGTGACACACTAGATTATTATTCTATCTTTTTGTGTTTTTTTTAAAAAAAAAAATATTGCTTACATTCGCATCATTTAATTTGCATCCAAATAGGGTTTTCCATATTACAGGAGCGATGGCCTCCTAAAAGTAGGATGCTAAACCCAATCCATTTCATTACATTTATAAATAACAGGAACCACTGTGGCTCGATGAGTAAGACGTTGGCTCGCTAACCAGGGGGTCCCGTGTTCGATCCGGGTGTAGCTCGAGAAAGTTCATCTACCGTGCTGCCCCCCCCTCCCCCTGTGTCAGTGGTGCAGGACGATTGAAAGGATACAAGCTAATTTCTAGGTGAGATGCGCCTCGGGAATATAATCGCGTACCACTATGTGATACATATCCATAGAAATATGTTTTTCTTTATTCAAAGTAATAATACGCGTACGTGTAAGTGTGTTCAAAGATTCCTAAAGATAAGGGGTTCACGGTGGCTATGTGGGTAAGACGTTGGCTTGCTGTCTGGAGGTCGGGTGTCCGATCCCTCCATTGGCCGAGAAAGTTCATCCAGGTTTTCCGGCGTGGTTCCCCCCTTGTCAGTGATGCAGGAAGGAGGGCCTGAGAAGGACAGCTGTCTAGTCGTTCGGATGGGACGAAAAACCGAGGTCCCGTGTACACATTAGAATGCACGTAAAAGATCCCTTGGCAGTTGGAATTCGATATAAGAGTAGGCGATAGTGCCGCTCACCGGGCAAAATTTCCCTCATAGCACACTGTATGGCGTATGCCCGTCTTCATTAGCCCAGTTCGGAGCAGAACAGTAGGACGTTAAACCCCATTTCATTCCATTTCCTAAAAATAGACAACATTTCCATGGAAACGCATGAGTGCTTCAATCTAATTAGCAAAAGGCACACAAGTATTATTAGATAAGAAAGGACTGACGGACGGACCCCATTTCAATACCACTTCTTTGCCTTGGTACAGTGGGAGATAAATATAAAGATAGACGGACGGAACCCATTTTAACGCCACTTCGGTCGGTGGGAGATAAAAAAAACACCACTATATTACAATACGTAAACATAGATATCTCGTGTTAAAACATTTCTAACACTTTTATTCCGTCAGTGGGTTGGCTGGATGCTGTCAGTATTGTCAGTGGCTTGACTGGATGCTGTTATTTTTATCTGAAACAAACAATACAATGACCAAATATTTAGAATGAAAACTTGTCTACATGTAGTTACAGTCGTTTGTCTGTAAAATTTGTGGAGCCACGGTGGCTAGGTGGTTAAGACGCTGGCTCGCTAGCCTGGAGGTCGGGTGTTCGATCCCTACATTGGCCGAGAAAGTTCATCTGGATTTTCCGACGTGGTTTCCCCTTGTCAGTGGTGCAGAACGGAGGGCCTAACAAGGACAGCTGTCTAGTCCTTCGGATGAGACGAAAAACCGAGGTCCCGTGCATACATTAGAATGCACGTAAAAGATCCCTTGGCAGTTGGAATTCGATATAAGAGTAGGCGATAGTGCCGCTGCCCGGGCAAAATTTCCCTCATAGCACACTGTATGGCGTATGCCCGTTTTCATTAGCCCAGTATAGGAGCAGAACAGTAGGACGTTAAACCGAACCCCATTTCATTTCATTTCAATGTCAAGGTTTCTGATTGGACCCTACTGTTCACGTGTCTGCAGATAACGTAGCTGTAAGTTCGGGAACTTTAAAGTAATCTAGCAAAGTCCAGATGTTGTAAAATTCGCAGCCGTTGCTTCAGGAACATGCGGATGAACCGTAGCAAAAGACCCCTTTGTTAAAATTATATCTGGAATCTATTTTAAGCCCCATTATGTTAAAATAGTTAAGTTATGAATGTTCGAAATTTTGGCCAGATAATCTCGATTGTCAGGTACTATTACCAAAAAAAACCCCTCGATTATCCTGTTTGTCGTTAAATTATTAAATGGCGAGAATATTTTAATCCATTCAGAGGTGGTATAGTGGTTTAACGCATACGCGTGAAATCACGAGGTCGGTTATTGAGTAAAGTGGTGTAGTTTCGATTCCCAGTTGGTTTTCTCCGGGTTCTCCCGTTTTACCTCGCTCTCTCTCTCTCTCTCTCTCCGCCCCTCTCTCTCTCCGCCCCCTCTCTCTCTCTCTCTCCGCCCCTCTCTCTCTCCGCCCCCTCTCTCTCTCTCCTCCCCTCTCTCTCTCTCCGCCCCCTCTCTCTCTCTCTCCGCCCCCTCTCTCTCTCTACGCCCCCCTCTCTCTCTCCGCCCCCTCTCTCTCTCTCCGCCCCTCTCTCTCTCCCCGCCCTCTCTCTCTCTACGCCCCCCTCTCTCTCTCTCTTCTCCCCCTCTCTCTCTCTCCGACCCTCTCTCTCTCTCTCTCTCCGCCCCCTCTCTCTCTCTACGCCCCCTATCTCTCTCTCCCCGCCCTCCTCTCTCTCTCCGCCCCCCTCTCTCTCTACGCCCCCCTCTCTCTCTCTCCGCCCCCCCTCTCTCTCTCTACGCCCCCTCTCTCTCCGCTCCCCTCTCTCTCTCTACGCCCCCTCTCTCTCTCTCTCTACGCCCCCTCTCTCTCTCCGCCCCCTCTCTCTCTCTCTCTCCGCCCCCCCCTCTCTCTCTCTACGCCCCCCTCTCTCTCTCTACGCCCCCTCTCTCTCTCTCTCTCTACGCCCCCTCTCTCTCTCCGCCCCCTCTCTCTCTCTCTCTCCGCCCCCCCCTCTCTCTCTCTACGCCCCCCTCTCTCTCCGCTCCCCTCTCTCTCTCTACGCCCCCTCTCTCTCTCTCTCTCTCTCCGCCCCCTCTCTCTCTAATCCCCCTATGTTTAAGCCACTCGATGGTCTAGAGAGTTAAATAATTGTGTGCTTGCCTTGTGAATAAATGTCTAAATAACGATATATATATAACATTTGAAGCTAGACAAAAGACCTGTAATAGGCAGATTTTGCTCTTACATAATGCACCTATGCGTCGGCTACAATCTGTAGAGCGACACAGTCACCACTCATGATGTCGATTTTCTTTCGCAAAGGGATAGACTGTAGTCTGCAAGATGTGACTGGGGTGGATATTCCGAAACTTAACAATACGAACATTCATATAATTTATAATAAAACAATTAATCCTTACCCTTGACAAGCTTGTTGACATTTATCTTCGGTCGGGAAGTTGTTCTCGTTTCCACCACAACCACCGTAGACAAACTCAGTACAATTATTGGTTGTCGAGTTATAATAATAGCGACGAAAACGCGCTCGACACGGACCTTTTATTTTTGGTAATTGACAAATAGCTGGAACTGGACTTGGAACTAGAACAATATACAAATTAAACGTCAATTAAATTCCGTATCTAAACGTTTCAGCTAAAAATATTGAGTCATTTGGAAATGATCGATGGATATGTTTAACGGGTTTGCGATATTGTCAAAAGTTTTAACGAGACTATAATTCTGGTCAGTATGTAGGCATGGCGTCCCAGACACATGGGAACAGCGTGGAATTTGGTGGGAATTTGTCGCCAGCCTCATAAATGAAATCAAATTGGGTTTAAAGAGAGAGAGAGAGAGAGAGAGAGGGGGGGGGGGGTAACGTCTACTCGATACAAACAAGATCAGTTTGGGACTAACATAAGGTTCAATTTTATTTCAATAATTCGGCTGCGCGTACGGGTCTTCAGCAATGGGTAGAAACCGGCGGACCTGGAGAAAACCCACGAGGTTAGATAGGCGACCCTACTTGTCACGTACAACCGGTGAATCGAAACCACGGCAGTTGACTCAGTGATAGATCTTATGATACAGCGCGCACGTGCTAACCATTCGCCCCCCCCCCCCAAATGGTTTTAAAGTTTTCTAGATTATTCGGTTTATCGTTTAAAGTAGCTAAGTCTCTAACTCAATATCATCCAAAATCTTCCGCCTTGAAAACACGAACTATTTGTTAATTTAAATCAACATTGATGTTGTGGTCTTATCGGCATTAGATGGGCTTTTGATATCCAATATTTAAGACAAAATAAACATTTTACAATTGGCACACGAATCGTGTACCATAATGCGTTTCAGAGCCATTTGTAACGAGGGACTCGAAGAACGAGACTAGACATATTTCACAAGTCATATTCTTATCTGGAGAGCATGCGCAATAAATACCATCGATGTAGACTGGAATAACCAGACGCTAGAGATTGCCATTCCATTGAGACTTCTGGCGAATTTCGCCAAACAGAACTGATTAGAAATTACAGTAAAAACAGAAACGATTGAATGTAAATCAGTTTATATACATTCATATTACATTATTATATGCGTTGCGACCAATTTGTGTCAATTTCTGGGTCCCAAATATTAGCGATTTAGCTCCTTTAATTATTAAATGGCGTGGTCGTTCTAGTCCATTCAATATCTAATCTATTCGATAGCACAGGGAGTGGGTTATTTGCTTGTTATGTGAATAATTGTCTAAATACTAATTTGTATAACATTCCTCAGGGATGAATTATCCGGGGACGAATAGTCTTAATGGGACGAATAGTCTTAGGGGACTAAATATCCAGGGACGAATTGTCTGAGGATGAATAATCCGGGGACAAATAGTTCTAGGGGATGAATTGTACCGGAACAAGTTGTCCGGGAACGAATTGACGCGTACCCCAAAAAACCTGTAATAGGCAGATTTAGCGTTTAAAGGGACAATAACACTCTTGCTGCCTTGAAAGCTCCAGAAAATAAATAATATCTCTATCTAAGTTCTAGATGTTTAAGTGTTCTACCTGTTGTGTAAATTATCCATTACATCCTATTTTACTTGTCCATCGAGGGTTCGAAAATATTTTTAAATCGAAGTTTCATTTGAAAAGGTTTACGTTAGACGTTTCAAACTATCATGTTGAATTTTTCAAAATTTTTAAATAAGGTGTGTTAAGATGAAATTTGTATCATCAATTAATTGAAATATTCTAAAATAGTACAATTTGTTGACCAGAATAAAGATTGGGACATATTATTCAGTTACAACAAGAGTGGTATTGAGCCTTTAACACGGCGACAATCGGTAGAGCGAAATACTCCGCGCTCATGATGTCGATTTCCTTCCGTCAAGGGTTATTCCAGAACTTAACAATAGCCACATCCAAATTGGAACAGTTTATCCTGGGTGCGTATATTTCACAATAAGATACCAGAAATTTAACCAATTTAAACTTACCCTGACAAGTCTGTTGACATTTATCTTCGGTCGGGAAGTTGTTCTCGTTCCCACCACAACCACCGTAGACAAACTGAGTACAATTATTGGTTGTCGAGTTATAATAATAGGGACGAAAAAGCGCTCGACACGGACCTTTTATTTTTGGTAATTGACAAATAGCTGGAACTGGATATAAAACGGTAAACAAATTTAAAGCGAGAATTTCGTATTTTCTAAGAAAGTCAAAACATAATTATTTCTATGTCTTTTGCTCAATAGGTTGTCAACTCACTATTATACGATCATAGGTATCATTCTCACACTTAAAAATCATTCACCCCGGAAATAATAACACAATTACCTCCCTTGTTTTCCTATTTCACCTATGGAATAGCTATCTCAAACGTTTGAATTTGAAGTTGAAAATGATATTTTTTACCAATTTCTCAACTGGCAATAGTGAATTATAGGATTAATAGGATTATTCTTTAACAAGGTAGGACTGTTTATAGATACCATCTATTTTAAGGCTTTATTTTAATACTTTTTAAAAATATAACTTAAAAATATGAATTACAATTCAATATCTGAACGATATTCAAATTAAACACCTATTTAACAGTTCAAATTCTGTAACTAAACGTTTCAGCTCAAAATATTGAGGGAAATTTGCCCGGGCAGCGGCACTATGGCCTACTCTTATATCGAAATCCAACTGCCAGGGGATATTTTACGTGCACGCCAGTTTTCTAGATTATTCGGTTTATCGTTTAAAGTAGCTAAGTCTCTAACTCAATATCATCCAAAATCTTCCGCCTTGAAAACACGAACTATTTGTTAATTTAAATCAACATTGATGTTGTGATCTTATCGGCATTAGATGGGCTTTTGATATCCAATATTTAAGACAAAATAAACATTTTACAATTGGCACACGAATCGTGTACCATAATGCGTTTCAGAGCCATTTGTAACGAGGGACTCGAAGAACGAGACTAGACATATTTCACAAGTCATATTCTTATCTGGAGAGCATGCGCAATAAATACCATCGATGTAGACTGGAATAACCAGACGCTAGAGATTGCCATTCCATTGAGACTTCTGGCGAATTTCGCCAAACAGAACTGATTAGAAATTACAGTAAAAACAGAAACGATTGAATGTAAATCAGTTTATATACATTCATATTACATTATTATATGCGTTGCGACCAATTTGTGTCAATTTCTGGGTCCCAAATATTAGCGATTTAGCTCCTTTAATTATTAAATGGCGTGGTCGTTCTAGTCCATTCAATATCTAATCTATTCGATGGCACAGGGAGTGGGTTATTTGCTTGTTATGTGAATAATTGTCTAAATACTAATTTGTATAACATTCCTCAGGGATGAATTATCCGGGGACGAATAGTCTTAATGGGACGAATAGTCTTAGGGGACTAAATATCCAGGGACGAATTGTCTGAGGATGAATAATCCTGGGACAAATAGTTCTAGGGGATGAATTGTACGGGAACAAGTTGTCAGGGGACAAGTTGTCCGGGAACGAATTGTCCCGTACCCCAAAAAACCTGTAATAGGCAGATTTAGCGTTTAAAGGGACAATAACACTCTTGCTGCCTTGAAAGCTCCAGAAAATAAATAATATCTCTATCTAAGTACTAGATGTTTAAGTGTCCTACCTGTTGTGTAAATTATCCATTACATCCTATTTTACTTGTCCTTCGAGGGTTCGAAAATATTTTTAAATCGAAGTTTCATTTGAAAAGGTTTACGTTAGACGTTTCAAACTATCATGTTGAATTTTTCAAAATTTTTAAATAAGGTGTGTTAAGATGAAATTTGTATCATCAATTAATTGAAATATTCTAAAATAGTACAATTTGTTGACCAGAATAAAGATTGGGACATATTATTCAGTTACAACAAGAGTGGTATTGAGCCTTTAACACGGCGACAATCGGTAGAGCGAAATACTCCGCGCTCATGATGTCGATTTCCTTCCGTCAAGGGTTATTCCAGAACTTAACAATAGCCACATCCAAATTGGAACAGTTTATCCTGGGTGCGTATATTTCACAATAAGATACCAGAAATTTAACCAATTTAAACTTACCCTGACAAGTCTGTTGACATTTATCTTCGGTCGGGAAGTTGTTCTCGTTCCCACCACAACCACCGTAGACAAACTGAGTACAATTATTGGTTGTCGAGTTATAATAATAGCGACGAAAAAGCGCTCGACACGGACCTTTTATTTTTGGTAATTGACAAATAGCTGGAACTGGATCTAAAACGATAAACAAATTTAAAGTGAGAATTTCGTATTTTCTAAGAAAGTCAAAACATAATTATTTCTATGTCTTTTGCTCAATAGGTTGTCAACTCACTATTATACGATCATAGGTATCATTCTCACACTTAAAAATCATTCACCCCGGAAATAATAACACAATTACCTCCCTTGTTTTCCTATTCCACCTATGGAATAGCTATCTCAAACGTTTGAATTTGAAGTTGAAAATGATATTTTTGCCAATTTCTCAACTGGCAATAGTGAATTATAGGATTAATAGGATTATTCTTTAACAAGGTAGGACTGTTTATAGATACCATCTATTTTAAGGCTTTATTTTAATACTTTTTAAAAATATAACTTAAAAATATGAATTACAATTCAATATCTGAACGATATTCAAATTAAACACCTGTTTAACAGTTCAAATTCTGTAACTAAACGTTTCAGCTCAAAATATTGAGGGAAATTTGCCCGGGCAGCGGCACTATGGACTACTCTTATATCGAAATCCAACTGCCAGGGGATCTTTTACGTGCACGCCAATATGTACACGGGCCCTCGTGTTTTTCGTACCATCCGAACGACTAGACAGCTTGGATGGGCCAAAAGTTAAATGAAAAATATGGTACCGTAATAAACTAGAGTGTAATTAAATATTATTTAGCAACATTTGGTTTCCGACGTGCGCGCTGTATCATAAGGCCTGTCATTGAGTCAACTGGCGTGGTTTCGATTCCCCGGTTGTACGTGACAAGGAGTAGGGTCGCCTGTCCAACCTCGTGGGTTTTTTCTCCGGGCCCTTCGGTCCCCCCCCCCTACTAAAGACCCCTACGTGCAAGCGAATTATGGAAATAAAATTGAACCATATGTTAGTCCCGAAATGACCTAGTTTGTGTCGAGTGGACGTTAAACCCAATCTCTCTCTCTCTTATGTACGTGATCAAATCGAGATCCAGTAAACACATCACCAAATACATACCGCTATCGGGACCTGCTGATTCAACTTCGCACGATGTCAACAAGATGGTTGCAGTAATGACCAAAACGACTACAGCTACAACAAAACGCATGATTGTATTGTGTTATTCTCTCCGTCTGTTTATAAACTGGTGAGGACAGCCATATAAATACACTGTTTATAGCGTTATTCTCAATTTTATATATATAAAAAAAGATTTTATGGTTGTCAGTTTTATTGGAATACTAATAAATTAAAAGTGTCATATTATAAGAGACCAGACGCGGATACAGAAGAAGAGGTTTGAGGTTTCAATGTGGAAGGAAACCACATTATACCATTAGAGCACAAATGATCCACTACCAAACGTTTTTTTTTTATTTATTAAACATGCATTATTCCAGAGCTAAATCTGTCTATCGCAGGTCTTTCTTTAGGCCTGAAATTTTATATAAATTATTAAACATACATTATGCAAGAGCTAAATCTGCCTGTTGCAGGTCTTTCTTTAGACATGAAATGTTGTATAAAAACTATTAATTAGACATTTATTAACAAAACAAGACCAAAATAGACTCTCGATGACATCGGATACTCAAGATTTAATTAGATTAAAACAGTTCGCCATTTAAAATTTTATTTTAAAAATGGGAAAGCGAGGCTAAGTCCCGATTATACCAGTGCCGTGGTTACCGCTGTGCACACATCTTGTCAAAACTACAAACAATGATAACCTGGCTGACAATGAAGTAATTTGAATAAAATTTTCAATATTTTCTTCTTTTATCATCTATTTTTGAATTATTATAGCAAGAATGACCAACTCTTTATTAAACTCTTAACTAATGTATCCTTAATTAGACATTAATTAACTGATCCAGACCATAATCAACTCTCGATGCCATCGTTAGCCTGCAATATTAAGTAGATTTAAATACGTGTTGTGGTGGATGAGGTTACCGTAGAAATGGATAATCGAGACTGTGTTTATTATCGTGACAACGGTAGTAATGACAATCGAGGCTAGGCTATAATTATATCGACGATACTAACATATGGCCACCAATCCCCTATAACCATACGTGTAGGTGCCGAGGGCTGATTGATTCATTCTGAAAATGCGGGTTACAAAGAAAATTTTCGGGCAAATAGGCTTAGCTCCCCGACTCCCCTCAACTGAGATTGGCCCCCTATGTATATATACATCCAACCCAATGGGATCAACAATTAAATGTTTACAATATCATTTTATTCTCCTCGTTATTTGTCAATTCTGTCCACATTCTTGATTTATTTCTACACATACAACACGTGTTTTCATTGTTTTCGATGATTAATCAGACATGCCTGTCTTTGCCTGCTGTGACAGCTTTATAAATGATCGCTTCTATATTCAGTATACTTTATGGAAGAATAACGTTGCCAATATTATTTCAATGTTCACGGTGCAAACTGCGTATGTCAATTTGCAATTTAAATCAACATTAATGTTGTGATCTTAACTGATTAAAAATTAAGAGTAAAAACAGAAACGATTGAATATAAATTAGTTTATATACACTCATATTAGATTATTACATGCATTGTGACCCTTTTTGTCCATTTCTAGGTCCAAAATATTAGCGATTTGGGTACCTTAAAGTAGTCAGCATGACACCAAACTAGACAGATAATAGGAATTCAATGCCTCGACATCAATTCTACACCAGAAAGCCAACATGGATAAGCATGGAAAATACCAGGAAAGAGGGGGAGTCGGGTACTGAAATATGGAAAATTAATAGTGGTCTGCATCCATGCATAAATTGAGTTATTCCCTTGCTTTGGAGCGCTTTGTCATATATTCACACAGGGCTGATCCATTAGGAAACAGAGACTGTGGCGTAAGGTCCACGCATACAAACTAGGTCATTTCATGATTAATATATTGCACAATTTTAATTCAATAATTCTCTTTTACATAGGGGGCACCTGGGAGGGAGGGGAAGGGTGAAGGGGGAGGAGTTGGGGATAAAACCCTGCCATTGACTCAATACAACATAATTCATTATTAATATTATTACATTTATTTCACATACTGTATTACTACATGTAAACCATATTTAAAAAATATACATGTAATAACCCATATGAACAATCATACGTAATACCAAAATGAACAATTTAAATTTACATGTATACATATATATAACCTTCTGTAACATGTTTGATTGTATCATTGCGTGATAACGGTGAGAGTATCCTCACTGAAACGTTGCAGTTAATAAACCTAGTGAGTGTTATCCATAAAATCTGTCTGTTTATTACAAATAGTATGTTTATTATATATCGCTTTCACTAAATGCCTTACAAAAATACTACAGTGTATTACCAAAATGAACAATTTATACATAATACTAATATATATAATTTATACATAATACCAATATGAACAGTATATACATTATAATAATATGAGAGCGAGAGAGAGAAAAATGGGGTTTAACATCCACTCGACACAAAGTAGGTCATTTCGGGACTAACATATGGTTCAATTTTATTTCCATAATTCGCTTCCGCATAGGGGTCTTTAGCAGTGGGAGGAAACCGGAGGACCCGGAAAAAAAACCACGAGGTTGGACAGGCGACCCTACTCCTTGTCACGTACAACCGGGGAATCGAAACCATGCCAGATGACTCAATGACAGACTTTTATGATACAGCGCGCACGTGCTAACCATTCGGCCATCCAACGCCCCCAATACCAATATGAACAATTTATACATAATTGATATGAACAATTGTTACATAAATACATGTCCCTACTGAAAACATTCAATTCATAACAATATTTACATGTAAGTTTCTAGAATTTTGAATATTTGCCGATATTAAATTAGTGTTAGTGCTGTTTATCATCAAATAACAAATACTAAAATATATGTTACCAGGCAACAAAACTTTATCATAAATTATGAAATCTGTGTATATGTGATCAGATGGTATTGTCAGTTAGTAAAAAAGAAAGCGAGAAATGGGGTTTAAAGTCCACTCGACACAAACTAGGTCATTTCGGGACGAACATATGGTTTAATTTTATTTCAATTATTCGTTTGCGCGTAGGGGTCTTCAGCAGACGGAGGACAGGCGACCCTACTCCTTGTCACGTACAACCGGGATTCAAAACCACGCTAGTTGACTCAACGTCTTATGATACAGCATGCACATGCTAACCATTCGGCCATCCAACCCCCTACAGTTTCGCTAAAAAATAATAAGCTTTTCTGTCAGGTGTGTAAACATTTGGAGTAATTCAGGTGACGAGACCACATTTCAATATAACTGTAAAACTCAGTTCGATAGTGCTTGGTATTGCCACTGCAGTCACGATACAGATTATGATTAAGGAGCTATGATACGATTCATAACCAGGTTAATATTTACCAAGAAAACAAAAGGATCAATGAATAATTAATATTTTTAGTCCTGCCGATGTCGAAGAGAGAGAGAGAGAAATGGGGTTTAACGTCCATTCGACACAAACTAGGTCATTTTGGGACTTCCCTCATAGCTCACTTAATGTGTGTGTGTGTGTCCATCTTGATTAGCCCAGTTGGTGTGGAAATGTAGAAAAACTAGAATTTTAAATCCTGTTTTCATTTCAATAACAGAACACAGTTTTTTTATGGGATACAATCACTGGTTTATTCTAAAAGCACGACGTTTCAACAAGTATCCTCTTATCGTTATCAAGCACAAATGTTTCATTTCATTTTGTCAAAAACAGGACACTGGTCAAATGCATCAAAAAGACAAAAGTTTGTTGATTTTCTGATACTTTCACAGCATTAGATAGCATCGACTCTGAGCTCTATTCAGGAAAACTTCATTTACATGTAAGAGAGAGAGAGAGAGAAATTGGGTTTAACGTCCACTCGACACAAACTAGGTCATTTTGGGACTAACATATGGTTTAATTTTATTTCAATAATTCGCTTGCGTGAAGGGGTCTTTAGCAGTGGAAGGAAACCGGAGGACCCGGATAAAAACGAACAAGGTTGGACAGACGACCCTACTCCTTGCCACGTACAACCAGGGATTCGAAACCACGCCAGTCGACTCAATGACAGACTTTATGATACAGCGTGCACGCTAACCATTCAGCCATCCAACCCCCCAAACCGATGTCAAAGAAATAAAACTGTTTTATATCATGATATTGATGTGGATCAAAACAATGTGTACATGGTACACATGTATCTACAATGTATGACAGAGATAATTAAACAATGTGTACTAACATGTATCTACAATGTGTGACATGGATAATTAAACACGACAGGTTACTTGCTGAAACAACAAAAAAAACCCATAAAATTCGCGAGACACTGAATCGATGTATCGAGATGCAATATGAGAATTGTTAGAAGGTGAATCACGATACATTGATCAACGATGTACGAGAAGCTCATTAAACATACATGTACATGTACATTATGCAAGGGGTACAATGTAAATCTGCCTATTGCAGGTCTTTCTTTAGGACTGAAATCTTACATGTATACAAACTATTAGTTAAACATTTATTAATATGAAAAGAAGATAATCAACTTTCGATGCCATCTTATGTGTCAGACATTCATTGGATTTGAATCCGATCTGCTCTTAAACGTCTGTTGACGATTAAATGCAAAAATGAATAATCAAGACTTTGTTAATTATCGTTACAGCAATAACATTCGAGACTACAGAGATTTTAAAATAAAGCTTTCTGGGCTTAGAGTGAAGCAATTTGGCTGAACGTTTCAGTATATTCCATTTACATTATTTAGTTTTTAACTACAGTAGAACTTGCTCGGGCGTGCACTCCTAATCAGCACCAAAAAATCCCCCCGAGCGATTTTTAAGTAATTTAACCTCTACTAAACACGCACCTGTTCAACGCGTGCAGCGGGCATCACAATTGATTCCCCCCCGTAAAAATTCTACTCTTTCAACGGTCACTCCTCTAACGCGGCCAGCGGTCACTTTTTTTACTAATAAATTTAACAAAACATCGCCCATTCAACAGCCATTGTTGAATGATACCATCTTGTCGTTCTTTCTTTGTAACACTCCCGCTAATCCCGTGAGTAGTAGTTAATTAACTGGACCCCCACTGATCAGGTAAAAAGAAATGTAAAAATAACAATCAACCCGGGATTATCTGTTTATTAATCTTTTGTTTTATTAAAACGACTATCCTGATCATTGTTTTCACGCGTAACGACACATTATTTGATACTGATTGAATAAAATAACAGCACCGAGTTTTGTCACGATCATCTAGTATCTCTTTTCCATTGCCACTTTGTTGTTCAACAGCACTGATGTTAAACAGACGTTTTAGCGCCCCCTATAATATTACATACAGAGTTACATCCCCTATAAATTGTGTGCTTTTTTGATAAAATAAAATTAATTCATCGATTTTCTTCACAAAAATGGATAAATATTATCGAATGCATCACAATGATAGACAGTAGTATCGAAGGTTGCTACAAAATGACAAGTTTACAGAAGTTATGTTCGAGATTTGAGTAAAGAATTTTCGTTCGGCGCAAGATTCAGCGACGGTCAAATTTATCGATGCACGTATTGATGTTCGCTCCCAATACACCCAGGCGTAATTAATTTATGTCAGCACAAAAAAGCATCGAGATTTTATTAAGTGGTCGCGTAATCGCTAAAATAGTTGGGGTGGGAAATACTCAAATTCGCAGCATTTTGAAACGCTTTTAGACGCTATGATTCAGTATGATGAAAGTAAAAGAAATATTGGGAGGCCAGAGATCCAGTATTACTAAACAATCATGTATACACGACTACTTTGAATTCACAACTAGATGTATTGTTACTGTTATACTACATGAATAAAAAAAATATATGCAATCTATATCTTTATTTTTTGTGGTAGGGGTTGGGGCAATATTAGATACCTCTAATCAAAGAGCACCTCCATTAAGCAAGCATTTTTAAATTTCCCTTGGGTGCTTGCTTAATACAAGTTCTACTGTATTATAGTGAGAACTGTTAGCTTTTTATCTACATGTAATCTTTGATAATAGATCTTTTGTAGTTACTTATGGTGAATGTTGTATTAACAATCATTACACTACAATTAACAATTATACCGTTTTTTACCAATCAATAATTACAGGTATTACAGTTACTTGTTACAATCAATAACAATACCAACTCATGACAATTACTCATCATTACAGAGAGAGAGAGAAATGGGGTTTAATGTCCACTCGACACAAATTAGGTCATTTCGGGACTAACACATGTTTCAATTTTATTTCAATAATTTGCTTGCGCGTAGGGGTCTTTAGCTGTGGGAGGAAACCGGAGGACCCGGAGAAAACCCCCGAGGTTGGACAGGTGACCCTGCTCCTTGTCACGTACAACCAGGGAATCGAAACCTCGCCAGTTCATTCAATGACAGACCGTTGATACAGCGTGTGCTAACCATTCGGCCATCCAACCCCCCCTCATCATTACAATCAATAATCATAGTGATTACTAATTACATGTACAAGTGGTGGTAACATCAATTACACATTACAATTAAAAATCATTCCAATTGCAATTAATAATCATTCCAATCACTAATTAAAATTAATAACCATTCCAATCACTAATTACAATTAATAACCATTACAATCACTAATTACAATTAATAATCATTCCAATCACTTATTAAAATCAATAACCATTCCAATCACTAATTACAATTAATAACCATTACAATCACTAATTACAATTAATAATCATTCCAATCACTTATTAAAATTAATAACCATTACAATCACTAATTACAATTAATAATCATTCCAATCACTTATTAAAATTAATAACCATTCCAATCACTAATTACAATTAATAATTATAATAATTACATGTATACCAATGACTCATCTAAATCAATAATTATTCTGATTGCTCATTACTGCTACATGACATTTTATGCTTCTGTAAATATTTTTTTAGGCTAAATGATTTATCACACCCATCACAATTAAACGGCCTCGACTCTCCAGTGTGGATTCTGCGATGTTTGCGTAGATTACTGGAATCAGCGTAACCTTTACCACATGTTTCGCATACAAATGGTTTTTCTCCCGTATGAACGCTCATGTGACCGTGGAGATCGCGATTTCTACGATATGTTTTATGACACACCATACAGGAATAGGGTTTTTCACCGGTATGGATCATTTCGTGTTTCAATAGATTACTCCGCATACTGAACGATTTACCACAGGTGTTGCACATAAAGGGCTTTTCGCCAGTATGAATTTTAATATGGGTGTTCAGACATCCCTTCTGATTGAATAACTTATGACAGAAGGGGCATTCAAATGGCTTTTCACCCGTATGAATTCTCTGATGTGTCTGCATGTCAGCTTTTCTTGTGAATGTTTTATTACACAGTTTACACTCCCAGTGGACAACATCTTTTACTTTGTCAGAAGTTTTTACTTGTTTGGGTTGTGCGAGTTTCAATTGCCGCTGAGCAAATTTCTCCCCCGTGTGGACTTTGATGTGATTGTGCAGATATTGAATTATATTGAATGATTTTGAGCAATAATCACAGTTGAATTTTTCCCCTGAGTGTATTTTGATGTGTTTTCTTAAATTGCTGGGATCAGCAAAGAATTTACCGCAGTCATTGCATCGATACGGTTTAATACCAGTGTGAATAATCGTGTGAACTTGAAGATCACGTTTTTGACGAAATGATTTGCCGCAAGTTTCACAATGAAAATTTTTCTCTCCCGTATGAAGCATGAGATGTTTGAATAGAACGTTCTGCGTACTGAATGATTTGCCGCAGATGTAGCACTGATTTTCACCTGTATGGATCTTCAGATGAATCTTTAAATACGCTTCCAGACGGAACGTTTTATCGCAATAACCACAGTCAAACGTTTCACCAGCGTGCAATTTGCTGTGCTTCCGCAGGTTGCTTTTGTCTGCAAATAACCTACCGCATACATCGCAGATGAACTTTTTTTCGCCCGTATGAGTACTCTCGTGTACAGAAAGCGAATGCTTCTGGTTAAATGATCTATCACAAACATCACATTTGTATGGTTTTTCGGTGGAATGAAGCCGAGCGTGATTCCGTAGACTGCCCTTGGATGTCAAGGATATATTACAGACCTCACATTCAAAACAATTTTCCCTAGTATGAACTTTTATATGATTTATTAAGGATGTCTTGCGATTAAATGTTTTCGAACAAAATTCACAGTTGAAGGTCTGTCCTGTGACTTCATGAATTTGACGATGCCTTCTTAAATTACTATCATCTGCGAATGATTTACTGCAGAGGTCACACGTATAGGGTTTAACTCCTGTGTGTATAGCCTTGTGAACCTGTAGATCACGATTTTGACGAAAGGTTTTTTCGCAGACATCACACTTGAAAGGTTTTTCCCCGGTGTGAAGCATAACGTGCTTGTTTAAGATATTACGCGTACTATATGATTTATAACAAATATCACATGTGTGAGGTTTTTTCCCAGTGTGAGTTTTTTGGTGTCTCTTCATTTCAGCCTCGTTCTTAAATGATTTACCACAAACATCACAGTGAAAACCACTGTCTTCATTTTCAGTATGAATTGCTTTATGGCATTGTAGAGCAGCCATTCTACTGAAGGAAAGATTACAGACATCACACTGTAGGGTAGAATTCACTCCCAGCATTTTGGATTAGTTTGTTGATTTTTGTTTTACTAATTACTAATGAATTTTTTTTCTGTAAGACTGTACACACATCAAACTCTTCATAAAACAATCTATTCTGTTCTTTAACTGAAGTTGACGGATCTCATCTCCAGAAAGGTACTCAATTCATAATGAGGAAATGTTTCCTGTAAAATATTGAAATACATAAATTAATAAAATAAAATAAAATGAAATGAAATGGGGGTTTAACATCCTACTGTTCTGTTCCGATGCCATAGAGTGTGCTATAAGGCCTGGGCAGTTGCACTATGACCTACTCTTATATCGAATTCCAACTGCCAAGGGATCTTTTACATGTATTCCAATGTATATACAGGACCTTAGTTTTTCGTCCAGCACCACGCTGGAAAATCCCGAAGAACTTTCTCGGCCAATGCAGGGATCGAACACGCGACCTCCAGGCTCCCATAAATCAATAAAAATGTACAAAACGACCTGGTGTTTCAAAACCATTGTTTGTTTTCCATTATATAATTATTTTCACATAAACAACCAAAAAAAATTAATCTGTAAATCTCTGTCATTTATTCTTTCAAGAACTCGGGCCTTCTTCAAGAAATACAATGTATAAAACTGAACTAATTTAAAGGCTCAATACCACTCTTGTTGTAACTGAATAATATGTCCCAATCTTTATTCTGGTCAACAAATTGTACTATTTTACAATATTCCAATTAATTGATGATACAAATTTCATCTTAACACACCTAATTTAAAAAATTGGAAAAATTCAACTAAATGATTTGAAAAGCCTGACATAAAGCTTTTCAAATGTGACTTGGTTTTAAAAATATTTTTGAACCCTCTGGACAAGTAAAAAAGGATTTAATGGATAATTTACACAACAGGTAAGACACTAACACATCTAGTACTTAGAATAAGGCTATTTTTTTTTTCTGGAGCCGTCAAGCCAGCAAGAGTGTTATTGTCCCTTTAAGAATTGTGCCTTGTCAATACCGATGGCTGTAGAGCGCAAGTATTTGTGCTCAGTCACCAAAGGTAATCCCACCCACTTTTTGTCGAATTCCAACTGCCAAGGGTTCTTTTACTTGTACACCAATGTGTTGCCCTAAGACCAGAAGCGTGGTGGGTGACCCAGGATTTTGCAAGAGGAACAAAATCCTGTCTTGGCCCTCCACAACAATATTTATACATGTATGTGCTGGGGAGTGATATTGGGCTGTGTGGAACATGCTAGAGTCAATTTGTAGCATATCTGACCCACGGTATATGTTTGACACTGGCTAAGCATTATGATTACAATGTTGAAGACCACAATGAAGTCGCATGATTTTTTGATGATGGCGAAGCGGCTCAAAAACTTAAGGCGGCACAAAAACTCAAACCTATGATGCAAAGCTTGTCATTGCATCCCTCTCGCTTAACCCTTGTCTGCGGGGGAAATGAAATGAAATGGGGTTTAACGTCCTACTGTTTTGCTCCTAAACTGGGCTAATGAAGACTGGCATACGCCATACAGTGTGCTATGAGGGAAATTTTGCCCGGGCAGCGGCGCTACGACCTAATCTTATATCGAATTCCAACTGCCAAGGGATCTTTTACGTGCAAGCCAATTTGTACACGGGACCGCAGTTTTTCGTCACCCATCCTAACGCCTAGACAGCTGTCCTTGTCAGGCCCTCCGTCCTGCATCACTGACAAGGGGGAAACCATGTCTGCAGGGCCCTCAGTCTAGCACCAGTTACATGGGGAAGCAAAGCTGGAAATTCCTGATATACTCTCCTCAGATGAATTTGTTAGGTAGACAATGAATAGCAGGGATTTGCGGTATCCTGATGGGTACATACATGTATTTGGAGAGAGAGAAATGGGGGTTTAACGTCCACTTGACACAAACTATGTCATTTTGGGACCAACCCGTGGTGATTTTAGCAGTGGGAGGAAACCGTAGAAAACCCACGAGGTTGGACAGGCGACCCAACTCCATGTCACGTACATGTATAAGTATTTCTTCATGAAAAACTCTGAAGACGTGCGAGTTCTTGCTAAAGAGAAACTAGATGTACAGGTGTGCATGAGGATAGGCCTATATATATACATTATACCTGTACAATGAGGATAGGCCTTTATATACACATGACATGTACATTGTACCTCTACAATGTCGCCATTAGCAAATCATCCTGAAGGCAGATATGGGTCCGTACATGTAGATTTACCCAAATTAACTTTAATTACCCAAAACAACCTGTATTTTGAATAAAACATATTTTTATTGTTTTTTCTTTTTTTATTTTTATTGATGATTAATATTCCTTAAACTTTACTAATAGTTCTGAAAAAAGAAAAAACTCGCAAAACTTGTATTGTCATCGCAGTGGATTCAGATTGTTTCATTCCCAAAATCATTCCGCCCTGGGCTGTCTTTTGATAGGGTTGATTCACTTTATCATACTGTGGTAGAGTGATTTTTATTTAATTTATGCTAATTTAATCTTAGATAATATGTTGTTAAACACATCACTGCCTTTTTAAACTATTCTGTTCTATACACTCTTCCTAAAGGTTTCCAGTAAGTTCCAGTTCACCCAGCTCACTGGTAGTTTATTTTAACTTTGACCTGAAGTTTTTTTTAGTTTGGTAACACCATTACTATGGTAACTCTTTGTACTGATTTCATGAAGACCAGAGGATATATTCATTCTCTGTCCTTTATAAGTTTAGTCAACATTTGATTTAGTTTGATAGTTTTTTTTAATGGTTGAAACTTCTTCAATTTAATATAATTGTGTAGTTATTGATTGGTTTTCAGTAAAATTCCAGTCATAGAAGTTACAGGTATGTGTTATCACTGTAACGCGGGTATCATTTAACCTTGTGTATCTAGCACTAATTTCTTTCACATTCGTTTAATATCTACATGTAATCTTTGTTTAAAAATTTGTAAAAAACGTTTAAAATCACCAAAAATCATCTAATTTGTACTTGTGTATAGTTTAAAGCTTACTGATTAATTTTGATAATGAGTGTACAATTTACAAGTATTTAATTTTCTGACCACTGTTCAAAAATAATCATTATACATCATAAATCAATTGGGTAATTTATTTTTTAACAGTGATTGAGAAATTTAACACTTGTAAAATTGGACACTCTTTATCAAAATTGGGGGGATCACGTGGCTAAGTGGGTAAGACGTTAAGTTCATCTGGATTTTGTTTTTGTTTAATGCATTCTGCAAATACATCTCATATATAGATACATGTATAGTCAATAATAGTAACACTATTTAAAGTATTTCGTTTTAAATATACATTTATCATATTTTTCACACAAACTTATATATTTTATTACAGAGAGAGAGAGAGAAATGGGGTTTAACGTCCACTCGACACAAACTAGGTCATTTCGGGACTAACACCTGATTCAATTTATTTCAATAATTCGCTTGCACGTAGGGGTCTTTAGCAGTGGGAGAAAACCGGAGGACCTGGAGAAAACCCACGAGGTTGGACAGGCGACTCTACTCCTTGTCACGTACAACCGGGGAATCGAAACCACGCCAGTCGACTCAATGACAGGCCGTATGATACAGCGCACATGTGTTAACGATTCGGCCATTCAACCCCCCCATTTTATTACAGACTTTATAAGGTAATTCACCTTCTTACAAGTCTGGTTAGCCAATAAAACCCCCTTTCAGGGTAGGGGATCCTGTGGCTTAGTGGGTAAGACGCTAGCTCGCTAGCCTGGAGGTCGGGTGTTCGATCCCTGCATTCGCCGAGAAAGTTCATCCAGATTTTCCGGCGTGGTTTTCCCTTGTCAGTGATGCAGGACGGAGGGGCTGACAAGGAAAGCTGTCTAGTCGTTCAGATGGGACGAAAAACAGAGGTCCTGTGTACACATTGGCGTGCACGTAAAAGATCCCTTGGCAGTTGGAATTCGATATAAGAGTAGGCCGTAGTGCCGCTGTCCGAGCAAAATTTCCCTCATAGCACACTGTATGGTGTATGCCCGTCTTCATTAGCCCAGGTTAGGAGCAGAACAGTAGGACGTTAAACTCGATTTCATTTCATTTCATTTCCTTTCAGGGTAAGATGTTATGGTATTTTATTAATTAGCTTTATAATAATTAAGAACCTTTAAGTTTCTGTATATTTCATACAGTTTATGAGAAGTTGTTTATCATAAATTGACATAATCATTATAACAGTTTACTAGCTTTTAAATTTAAACTATTGCAGGTCTTTCTTTAGGCCTGAAATGTTATATAAACTATTAATTAGACATTTATTAACAAAACAAGACCATAATCAACTCTCGATGGCATCGGATAGTCGAGATTTTAACTAGATTAAAACGGTTCACCATTTAAAAATTTAATTTAAAAATGGGAAAGCGAGGCAAAGTCTGAATTATACCAGTGCCCTGGTTACCACTGTGCACACATCTTGTGAAAACTACATGTACAAACAATGATAACTTGGCTGAGAATGAAGTAATTTGAATGAAATTTTCAATATTTTTTTTTATCATCAATTTTTGAATTATTATAGCAAGAATGACAAACTCTATATTAAACTCTTTAACGAATGTATCTTTAACATGTAATATATTCTTTTAAATCATAACTATGTTTGTATGCTGTTATGTTACTTGTATAGCTTTGTTACTTACTGTTTATATTTGTATACTTTCAGGGTTTTTTTTGGTATTTTTAATACCATCATTGAATAAATCATTAGAACTGAACCCTTGTGTGGTCGTTTTGTCACAATAATTTGACCCCCTATAACAATACATCTATATATATATTTGTGACTGTCGTTTGTCTGTCTGTCTGTTCAGGGTTGGCGGCTACACTAGGTCTGCCCCGAGTCTGAAATTTGGGGCATAGGGGTAGCTCGAACCGGGGAGTAATATAGGCCAGGTGGCGTTAGTCTACCACTTGCGGTTTCGGAGTTATGACCTCCGAGCGAAGTCGGGGTTGGCGGCTACACTAGGTCTGCCCCGAGTCTGAAATTTGGGGTATACGGGTAGCTCGGACCGGGGAGTAACATAGGCCAGGTGGCGTTAGTCTACCACTTCCGGTTTCGGAGTTATGACCCCCGAGCCAAGCCGGGTATCCTGCTAGTAACAAATAAATAAAGTACTTTTCCCTGATAATAGGCCTACACTAATTTCTGATACATGTATTGTTAACGTTTCACAGTCATAGTGATACCACAAATCACAACAACATCACGCAAGATAGGTTGCCTGGCAACGAAACATACGCCCACAGCAGCTAAATCGTCCGTGCTGTCAACAGGGGATGTTGCATATTTAATCTTTTGCAGGTAATGGGGGAATTTACAAGACAATTTCATACAGATCAGATTATAATTTGCATCCTTTGAGGGTTTAAAAAGGTGCTACATGTACAAACTGAAACAAGGGCCTTAACTCTGGAAGTAATATACAAAAGTTGTTGCAATTTGATAAACTTTTTCGTTTTACTAATTCAAATAATGCATATAAATTTCATTCAGATCGGATGATGGATTTTGTCGTTCACAATGTCAAACAAAGTACAACAAGGGCCATAAAGTGCCACAGAGCAGTCAGAGTCAGACTGACTGAATGTTCAGTGCTATAGAAAACGATTATCATTATAACTCTAGAAGCAACTGAAGGAAATTGCTGAAGTTCAATAGACTTCTTTGTTTTACTAATTCAAATAATGCATATAAATTTCGTTAGAGCATTCACAAACATAGTTCGATTGGCTGACCAGTAAAATCAATTTGCATATATCCAATGAAGTTGCAGTATTTCTTAAAACTTTGGTCGTAACTTAGTTTAAGTTTTTGTGAATAAGGGCCCTGGGCCATAACTCTAGTTCTAATTGGAGGCAGTCCACCGTTAAACTTCATCATCTCGGTACCCACAAATTTTAGTTCATCTATTTATAGAAATTCTCTCTGTCTCTTTTCTCCCCTTTTGCATGCCCATTTTTTTTCATTTTTTGGTCTAGAATGGATGAAGAGGGTTTGAATTAACATTTTCTGCCAGGTTTAGGTAAAATATTCATGATTTTGAGGCAGAAAGATAACGGTGTTATCGAGTTGGTTACGGTGATATGTACGACAAATAGTTACATGTTTTTAGTATGCTTTTGATGGGTCAACCTCATACAAATTTTAGTGCAAAGACATGACCATTTGTTTCTGTCTCAGTGTCTGTCTAGTGAAAAGCATTCAGGTCAACGAAAATTTGGGGAAAATTTGGAGCCGGGCAAAGAGGCCAGAATTAACATTGAAGTCACTGGGGAAATTAATAAAATACTGTTTCAACCAATGAAAAATTAATGGTGGTCTGCCTCCCAATATAACAATAAGAGTTGTCTTTCTTGCTTTGAGTTTGAAATTTTTAATCTATTTCCGGGTTGTTTTTTTTTCAGAACTATTAAGAAAAGAATAAAGTTTAGGGAACATTAACCACCTATACATACACAAAGAAAGACAAATTCATAAAGTTGTGTTGTTTTATCCAAGTTGTCTTGGATAAATCTATGAACCGGCTGACACCGTTCGGGCGTTGTTGTACTGTACACTCGGCGGTGTAGGAAGCTTTTTGCCAATTCCATTTCTGTTGTAAACTTGTACATTTACACACTTTTGAAACTGCCGACAATAGACAAACAATGCAATGCCTTAATAAACATAATGTTAGATTAGATGTGATTCCATCAACTTACCTTTGATAGCTATAAAACAAACCAAATAATGATACATGTATAACAACAACGGAAATCAATTCTGATAACAAAACATGGCCGCCAAAATGCTGTTGTATATCGAAATTGGACCAGGATTCGCCATACCCTGCTTTCTACCAAAAGCAACCTAAACACCACTGAATTCGGTTGAAACTTACCGAAACAAACGTAATGAGATCGGAAAGTGGAATTACAATATAATAATAGCCAGCCTATTGATTGATTATGTTGAGCGCAAATTACCCTCAGTGGACAGATTACCCCCGCACATGCGCGAATCTGTCAAATTTCCGCACTCGGCAAACCTCAGCAGATTCCAGTACCCTACATCTAGCTAGATGTAGACACGGAGGTGTATATATGGATTTAGAGTAACGGAATCTGCCGAGGTGGAAATGAAATCAAATGAAATGGGGTTTAACGTCCTACTGTTCTGCACCTATGCTGGGCTAATGAAGACGAGGCGCGCGAATTGGACTTTGCTCGGGCTATTTAATGGATTACCGCGATGAAAATCCGTTCACCCGTCGACCACTGAACCTGAATTCAGAAACTTTGGGTTACATCGCACATTGATAAAATATTTAAAAACCAGTCAACTGTTTGTTATACATGTATTTATTTCAAATTTAAAAAATAACACCTAACTTTACAGCAACTATTTTTGACATTCAGTCACGTGGTCAGCACCGATTATGAGATACTGCTGACTAGAATTAAAAATCGTATTTTCTAAGCGGAGTCCTACACGCTAATTATGCAGTGATTTTGAAAATCATTTCACTACAAAGTCGATAGGGGGCAGGTCATATATATAGTTAAGTATGTCTGGCACTCGGCAAACCTCAACAGATTCCAGTACCCTACATCTAATCTCGGCTGTATGACAAAGTCCGCCATTAGAACTACTTTCAAGTTCCCGGATTACAATGGCGTTGTCCATGACGACCAATGACGTCATTGATGACGACGTATTTGAAGAATGTTTTATCTTACAAAATTTTCAAAGTTTGAAGCTGTTTTTCTTTCAAGTTTATCCGATTTTCTTTGCACTGAAAATTCTACACACTCTTCGAACGACGCAATTTTGAGAACTTCTTTCTAAACGCGGGCAAGTTTCCCTTATAGGTAAACCGGTTCCGCATCGCAAATGTATAGGCGTAGGTACATATCACTTACTGTCATACAGCGGAGGCTAGATGTAGGGTACCGGAATCTGCCGAGGTTTGCCGAGTGGTACGTCTGACACACTACTAACATCTCTAAAAACATCGAAAGGTAATCAGCGCAAAGTTGGCAATCTGCGCTCCAGCTTGATAAACGCGCGCAGCTGCGCAGAACGACAGCGTAGATTGCAATCGCGGTGGGGGAGGGGGGGGGGTGAAGATTGCGCCTAACAATTACATGACATTTCAGTCCCGCGACATTTTGGACTTGCGGCCTTTGGAATTCCGGCAGGTGACATTCCGGACTCGGGTAGCAGACGTCTTGGACTCGGGGGGGGGGGGGGGGAAAGATGTACTGTAGGGCGGATAGCCTTTGTTTACTAGTCAGCTACTTCCAGTTTGTATATCTCAAGAATTTGATGGTCAACTCTATACATGCTTTTGGGCAAGCGGTTGCCACATGTTGCTCCATCTGTGGTAGAAAGAACTCAACCCAATGAAAGTTTATTAAACTGTTAGAGAGGGACGACAATTAATGGGGATATTAATTGTGTACTGTGTCGTCTGTCTTGCGTCAACCAGATCCGGAGTAAATATTCACTTCGTCGGTCTAAAAGTTAAGGCCCACTGCAGATTTGGTCATAGATCACGATATGCTAACCCTAAACCTTGCCCTAACCCTTACCCTTACACTATACCACGATCTATTTTATCATAGAGAGAATCACCACCACCCATCTGATATATATCCATCCAACACTGATATACCAACTCTGTTAATCTTTTATACAACAACATAATATTCTTTTGTTTACCCCATTGATAAGATATAAATACATCCGGGGATTTGTATGCCTGGAATAGAAATAGAAAAGAAAAAAAATTTAACCATGCGCACGGAGTTCTTGGTTAATGAATGGGGTTCTTTAAACAATCAATCCCATGTTGCAGAGATACAGTGGGGTGAACGGAATGATCTTTGGAAAATATAATTCCAACAACTGTAGTTATCTCCCTTATTATTCTGGTCGATTTGTGCACCCGTTGGCCCACACTGATCAGCAGTGAATATTTGCTAGGCCGCTACAATCACTGATAAGGATGACACCAATGCGACTTATTTAGTCTCAAATATTAACTTTTTTCCACCGACAAATTAAATTCTGAAACACTTTTTTGATGTATTAGAAAGATAAATAAATACGTTTGTCGTATTTGTAGGTAAAAATTATTTCCTATTTTGTGTAAATGGATATTAAAATGACTAAAAGGCAGCATTTTGCCCGAAGCAGTAACGTCTTATGTAAACAATGCACGCGCCATTCAGCCATGATTGACGCCGCGCGATGAAAAGTCACGCGTTGAAGGTAGTCATTGTTTATAGAGATATTAGAAGACTTTCGTAATCCTCTGTGAAATAGATTGCAATCATACGGTCCATGGTGCCATGATGAATACGAAAGTAAAGTGATATCTCTTTCCTTTGAAACGTCATAAGATACAGTGATGTCATACACCAAAGCGCCGTATGACAATATTATAACCGATTAGACAAAGTCTACTTATCGCGGGCTTTTAATATGTAACAGGAATAGCCTGTGTAGAGCGAAGCTGATGTGAATGTTGTTAAATATAAAACCTTCATAATTAAGTTTCTCAACTGATACAAGTAATGTTAAATAATCTCGTTTTTCCGAAATGAATTAGGTTTTTAAACACCTCCTGTTTAGAATTTATCGGACTGTTATTGTCCATTTGATACCGCTTAATATTAAATATTAAATACGGTAAGAATATGAAAGATGTTTCGTTGATTATAGAAATTGATGTTTCGGTTCTGTTGATTTTTTAAAGGTTACCGGTACTTACGGCATTTATGCAAGGAGTACATGTCCATTTAATCTCTTCCAACCCTTTCACCGCTCTTCTATATGCTGCCTGGGATATATCTAAAGAGAACAAAATTATTTAAAATTTAGTGAATATAAGTTGGAGTAAGTATAGCTAGCAAAACTAGCAAAACTCGTGTAATTATTTCAGTACTTATGATTTATTGTTTTATTTCAATACTTATGATTTATTTCAATACTTATGATTTATTTCAATTTCAATACTTATGATTTATTTCAATTTCAATACTTATGATTTATTTCAATACTAATGAAAGCAAGCAAAATCTGTGAAATTATAAACACATACCTGTACATTTTCTATGCTGCCATAGATTACACTCTTCACACTGAAGACCTTCTTGTCTTGGACGCACGGTCGAACGGCAAGCGATACAAGGATCCATTATAATTAGGCTATACTTAACTTGATATGTATCTGAGATACCGATATCAAATGGTGAAAGTTTCATATTTTATTCGAAATATATACAAATTCCAAGCTTGCATCGGAATTGGTTTGATGTTTAAAATACAAAATAACAAAGCCGGGATATACAAATTCCAAGCTTGCATCGGAATTGGTTTGATGTTTAAAATACAAAATAACAAAGCCCGGATTTACAATCTCAAGCTTAAGATTAAATAATTTGAACAACAACTCAATAATAAAACAAACAATTTTAATACATCAAACACCAATCATTAATTAATAAGTATCGTATAGGCTTCTATCCACACTGATGAGTACTAATTAGCACCTTTATACACCGACCAATCAAAATAACAAAGCCGGGATGTATAATCTCAAGCCTAAGATTAAATAATTTAATCAACAACTCAATAATAAAAAAAAAAACAATTTTAATACATCAAACACCAATCATCAAAATCATCTATAATAATTATCGAATCGGCTTCTATCCACACTGATGAGTACTACTTAGCACCTTTATATACCGATCAACCAACCCTATAATATACTGGTCTTGAATACGCCGATGTTACCGGTAATGAATTAGCCTGGTATTGAATACGCTAGGATTCGATAAAACTCCTTTAAACTTAATTCAATATCAAAACCTCAATTTCTAGTATTTTTTATCGTGTGGTCCGAATCAGCCTGGAATGTGGTCCCAATCAGCTTTGACTTTTGGTCCCAATCAGCTTGTTTACGTTGTCATTTCGACGCTTTGATTTTTTTGTCTTCGCAAAATACCCTGGCCTGTGTTTAGGGTGGCCACCTTTGCTTGATCATATTGCGGGACATTATCTTTTTTGCATAACAATGTTGATATAATTTTTTATAGTCACTTCACTTTTCGTCATAGCAACAATAGGAAATCAAACTATGAAATATTCCCACAAGCTTGGTTTGTATTCGTATGTCATTTGATATTTAGGATAATAATACATAGCAACAATATAAATTCAAGTCAATATAAATTTCTTTTGTAGCTGTAATAATACCCTTCTTTCATTTAAACAAAATATATAAATTATAATTTGTGCGACAGAACTGTTTGAAAGGCTGCGTGTAAATATATCATGGCGTTGAATGAAATTTTTTAAGTTACAATCAAATTACTGACGAATTATCATCCATGTATCGCTAAAATTAAATCAGGCAGGCCGAAGGTATTGAAACGTTTTGAGATTTTATCGCTATTTTTTAATCATGCTGAAAAATCATGCCGAAGGTAGTGAAACGTTTTGAGATATTATTGCTTAAGTTTAATCATGCTAAACATTGTGAAAACAACTGATTTTATAATAACTTTTATAATAACTTTTATAAAGGATGTTATGCTGGTTAAAGATGCATAATGTAAGAGCTGGGTGGGTTGGGTGGCCGAATGGTTAGCACGTGCAAGCTGTATCATAAGGTCTGTCATTGAATCAACTGTTGTGGTTTCGATTCCCCGGTTGTACGTGACAAGGAGTAGGGTCGCGGTCACCTGTCCAACCTCGTGCGTTTTCTCCGGGTCTTCTGGTTTCCTCCCAC